GAGGAATCACGAGGTATAGGAACAGTAGGAGAGTGCCAGGGATGGAAAGAGTTTTTCTGGTTCTTTTATAAGGAAAAAAGGGTGAATGATAGAAACTCCAAGCCCTTATAAAACCATTATACAATTTGGGCACACTTATAGAAGAAAGGAGTAGTCACCCAGTACCCTCATGGGTTCACTATGAATAAGTCATATCAAATCCCTTCATTTCTTTTGGGGATGGGGTTAATGTGGATTTTGGAAATGCTGAAGACCTGGCAGATCTTGACCTTGTGAAGTATTTATCAGAGACCCTCCCAATGGCCTTTTGGACAAGAAGGAGAAATGTGATCTGGCACAGGAAGATTGATTCGCCTTTGGTTGTAGCCAAAGAATGTTGAATTGAATCCTGGGCCCAGACATCTCTCTTTTGCCTTTTAGAAATAGATACCATACTATCCTCTCTAGCACTGGATCTATTATTCTCCTTTTTCTTCTCTCTGAATATAGTTGTAGAATTTTTCTGTTTGTAGAAGCACATGAAAATACTAACAACAAACACAGGAGAGTTTCCCCTTTGAATTTTTTGCTTAAATTTTCCCCAATGGTGAAGTGTTCCATCAAAATTCAAACGGTAATCATGTAAGTAATCATTCCACATTTCATGTAATGCTGAAGCCCGTACAGAGCCTTGCTGATGACGAAGGAAGCCAGTTGGCCCTTAGGCATTCTTTTCTGTTCTTTCAAAAAAACAAAAAAACCTTGCTTAATACTAACTATATGCCAGGTACTGTGCTAGACATGAGAGATTCAGAATCATAAAATCAGAAGGAACATGGAGAATTTTGAGAACAAGTGCAAAAGGCATTTTCCCAATAACACAGGAGTTGCAGAAGCATTTTAATGAAAGCCCTTGCTGTACAGCCATCCTCAAAAGGTTTGCAAGCTTCCTTACCCTTTGTGCTGGGGTTTTACTTTTGAAATAAAAGCTGATCTCCTGGGAGAGGCCATAAAGACAAAATTGCAGTCCAGGCATTTTTTTTTTTTTTTTTTTTTTTTTTTTTTTTTAAGCAAGGGAGAATGTTCGGAGAGGAACTCCTGAATGATTACATTTGGCCGGCCTTGGGGGGTGGACCAAATAACTCCCTCCCACTCCCCCAACAACTACAGAATCAGCTGACCCTGGCACGTGGAGGGCTGGCTGTGCCCTGTCACAGGCAGGCCCTCACCTGGCCCTGCTGTGGCATGTGTGCGGTGGGACCGGCTGTGTACACTGTACCCTGCACATCACAGGGAAATTTGTTCTCGTAAGTGGAGTGGAACAGAACATGGATCATCCTTGTGACAAGCCAGGAGCTGACGTCCCCCAGAGTTCCCCAAAGCAGCTGCTTCCTGTTACTTCATAGCACTATAAAGTGTGTTTTCTAAAAATGACAGGCCAAATAAAAAAGAGAAAGAAGCATTCTCTTCTATTAGCCTCGCTCATACCTCACCCTGCCCCTGCATCCTCTAAATCAGATCTCAGTTTCATCAGTCAGGGGCTGACCCGAATCCTGCAGGTGATTCAAATGGAGGCGTTTATTGAAACGTAGAATTGCCCTGGGCTGCTGGGAGTTTGCCACGTGGTTTTTGTGCAAGTGGCTGAAACTACTTTATAGAAATAAGGACTTCATCCCTAGTGGCCTTGTATAGCGGTTTTGATCCCGGCTGCCTGTTAGGAGTCTCTTGGGATCTTTGAAAATTTGCAATCCCCAAGCCCCACCCCAGATCAAGTGACCCAAATGTCTAGAGGTTGGTCTGGATCCCTGTAATTTCTTAAAATCTTTCTAGGTGTTTCTGAACCTCTGAAGCAGCAAGAGCTTGGGGTTCAACATCAGAGAGACCTGGGTTTAAAGTTTGATTTTACTGCTAACTTTTGATGTGGGTGTTGAAGATGTTTCTTAAATTCTTTGGGGTAGTTTTCTCAGCTATAAATGGCAGGTAATAAGTACCTTTCAAGGTTGAGAGGATTAAATAAAACAAAATGTTCATGCTTGATGCACGGGAAGTGCTCAAAAAATGGTGCTGCTAATATTGTTATCGGGGTTTTTAATCATCGCCAGCCGCCTGTGGCTCTCAGACTCACACTGGCTCACACCCGCCCCACATGCTGTGGCCTGGATTTGAAGTCACCACGACCCATCTTCTCTCCCCTTCTGTGTTCTGTCCACTAATGTCTCCAACTCCATGGGGACATCAGCCCACTCCCATCACCTCTCATGTCCTGGGTAGGACTAGAAGAGTGACAGACAGTCCAGCAATAAGGTCACAGTGTATAATTGGCCGTGGCGGTGTCAGCCACCATTCCTGACCAATCACTCCGGCAGAGGGAGTGTGAGGCTCTGATTGGCTTAGGGCTGGGTCACATGGTCCACCTAGAGCCAGTGAGGAAGTAGAAACTGGCGAGTATGAGCTGGAGAGTGGGGAGGGGCTGGCTCCCCAGAGAGAAACCGAGGCAGGGGTAGACACCGCAGATGCCTGCTTCCCACCGCCTGGCTCACCCATAGTTAGCTGTAACCGTGCAAAGAAATAAGTAAGAACCCAGTGAGCAGGACTGTGGAATGGGACAAGTACGAACATGTTCAAAACCCTGCACTGCAGCTGGGGCTGATATCTAGCTGGTATGCGCCAACAGGGTGCAATGGCTTGTGTCTACTCGGTTGGTTGCCATATTGCTTGTTAATTATTTCCCTATTTCCCTAGCCCACAAGCACAATGCATTCCTGGATGCCCCCTGTACATTCTAATCTCTCTTTGCTCATTCTCTTCCGTACCCCTGGGGTCATGTTCCTCTTCCTGTGTGCACCCATCCAAATCCCATCCACCCTTCAGGATCTTGCCTCAAATCTTCCTCCTCCAGGAAGCCTTCCAGGAGTTCCTTGCTCCCTCACCCCCTTCTATGGCCAAAGGAAATGCATTCAGATTTCTAGCACTGTCATCTTGTGCCTCTTTCATAGCATTCATCCCTTCCTGTCTCCTACGATTATTCTAGTACATACCATGGCTTCCACTACTAGCCTGTGCCCTTCTAGGGGACTGGGGTTTACTCAACTCAGTATCTTCATTTCTGTGATGGTTAATTTTATGTGTCAACTTGGCTGGGCCACGGTGCCCAGCTATTCGATCGAACATTATTCTGGATGTTTCTGTGAGGACATTTTTGGATGAGATTAACTTTAAAATCAGTGGATACTGAATAAAACAAATTGCCCTTCATAATGTGGGTGGGCCCCATCCAATCAGTTGAAGGCCTGAATAAAACAGAAAGATTTATCTCCCTTGAGCAAGAAGGAATTCTGCCAGCAGATGGCCGTCAGACTCAAACGCAACTTTAGCTCTTCCTGGGTCTCCAGCCTCCTGGCCAACGCTACAAAATCTGGACTTGCCAGCATTGCTTCGACAGGCTATTGGGATTATGACAGACTGCAACTATTGGGATTATGTATGGAAATATGCTTTATAAAGGGCAAAGCTGTATGCAAATGTTTGTTGTTATAATTGTTGCTTCTCCCACCGCTGTTACTACCACCACTGAGGCTGCTGGTTCTAGAACTTGTGCAACTGCTGACCCCAAAGTCGTCTGCAGCTCTCGTGGACCACCAGACACTTTCATCCAAATAAGCACCCCCACTCCCTCTCCCCAGCCATCTAGCACTGAGTTGAACAAGTGGTGTTTAATTTCCAGCCTCCCGCCCATACTGGGCCATGGTGTTTGAAGCTGTGATCAGCCGGATGAAAGAAAGCTGTCATCTTTCCACTGTCGTCTTTGCTTTCTCCCGAGCACACCACGCAGCCACAGAAGAACCGGATGGCGTCGGCACACGGAGGGGTCCGTCTGTGCCAGCGCATCTGGTGGGAGGAGGAAGCCAGCTCCCCAAACTCACGTTGCCGCCAGGACGTGCTGCTGTCTCCACCGAAAAGCCTTTGCTGAATGAGAACAGTTTCTGAAACCAGCGACAAGCCCCAGATGAGAAATTGCCCCCATTTATTGCAAGTCCACACAGCCTGGCTCGGACGCGAGGCCTGGCACCACGTTGAAGAACAGCTGTGAGATCAATTTGGGTATGGGTTTGTTAGTCATGAGCCGGGTTTGGAAGGGTGTCTTTGTGGAAAAGGGGTCGTGGGCAGGGGACCCGCACGACTGTGAATGATCCTGACATCCGCGAGCATTGCTCGGGAAGGTTTAACCGCCTCTGCTGTGCCGTGGCAGTCGGCCGCTCGGGCGGAGTCTCGGCAGATAAGGGAGCACAGCTGGCCAGATCCCAGCCTGGCTCCCGCTGGACTGATGTGACTTGTTGTCGGCGGCAGCCCGGCCTCTTAGAGTCTCCAAGCTGGAAGCCGCCACGGAGGAAGGCTGATGGAGCCCAGCAGTTGTCAGATCAGAGGCGGCTCAGGAGTCTGTCTGTGTCACTCAGGACACAGCAGAAGGGCAGCTGCCGTCACAAAGGCACAAATGGTTACTGGATATCTAGCATGCGCCAGTCCCCGCCCCCCATGAACTCACACCCTCACGGGCCAGGAGTCACACAAGGCAGAGGGAGGGGTTCCAGGTCTCCCGTGACACTGTCTTGCCTTCCAGGGAAGTTAGTTCCTTGGTTGGGCTGTGAAACTGGTGGCTTTTTCCCTAATCTTTTTTTTTTACTTTTAAATTAAAATTTTTTTTTAATTTTTAAATTATTTTTAATTAATTTTTCTAAAAGCTGGAAAAGGCAAAAATTTTTCCCTATTCTTTCCTTCATTCTGCTTACAAAGATAATGTTTGTATTCTGCTCATGCTCTTGTAGAACATTTAAAATACAGAAAGGTAGAAAGAAGAATGTAAAACTCTCCGTCAACCAGAAACGATTTCTTTGAACGTTGTGACATTTGACAATGACGTTTTTGACACCTTTATGGTTGTAGTCAAGTAGACATTTATGTGTAATTCTACATAATGAGAATTTTTCTGTTTCCTAATTTGCATTTTTTTACTCACCAATGTCAGAGAGAGCTTCTTCCCACAATGACTGTAGATACGCATCAACATTTTTAATAACTTCTCAGTGGGCTGTTACATGGCCATAGCAAAATGTATTGATCTTAGGTTGCTGCCGGCATTTTGCTCTTATAGACGCCACCAAGGTGATCCTGTCTGGACCCAACCCACACTCTGACGTCCTCCTGCCCATTCGATTCACACTCTGGTCCCAGGACCTAGAGCACCTGCCCTGTGCACAGTAGGTTCTCAGTAGATGTTAGGGGAATAACTCGAACAGATTCGCATCCTCATTCTATTATTTCCTTAGGAAAAGTTCCTAGAACTAGAATTTTAGGATCAAAGGGAACAGGCACTTTTATTTTATTCTCATACTGCCAGCTTGCCTCCAGAACAGTCCTACCAATTTAGTCCTACACACATTGTGGGAGTTCCCCCTCACCTCTGTCAAAGCTGGGTATTTTCCTTTTTCCCAATCTTTGCCACTCTAATAGGTTTGATGCTTTGTACTTAAAAGTTCCATTTATCAATCTGGGTTAAAATGATTCATCTGCCTTGTTTCTTCTCTGCACTAGCAGCTAGCCCAGGGCCTGCAGCAAGGTAAGTACTTAATAAATATGTAACGCAGCTGCTCAGGAATATTTATAAAGTCCATCGTCACACTAGGCACTGGAGGACATGCAGAGGAAGGCGTTATCATTTCTGCTGCTGGGACAGGGAGAGCCAACGTGTGACCTTGCATGGCTGGCACCCACCTTCGCAGAGACACAAGAAGCACTGTGGGAGGGAGAACACAGGAAAACGAGGGTCCTCCCTTGCAGTGGGTTAGGGACCATGTGCCCTGGGAGCTGACATGGCGTCTAAGGGGTGGACAGGAGGAAGCTCGGAGCAGCGAGATCTGCCGGAATGAAGCCACGCGCTCAGTCGCTGCATTCGCACTTGGCGTCCTTGCCACAGCCCTTGGGGAGATTCAGCGAAGGGAGAAGGGACTCTGTGCAGTGGCCACATGTCTTAAACTACAGCTGAGAACCACCCGCAAGAGACGCTTGCATAGTGCTTACCAAAAATGCAATTTCCTGGCTTCACCTCAAAGCAACCGAGTCCGGAGCTCTGCAGATGGGACGGGTCCTGACTCCTCCAGCGGGAAACTCCCTCGGGCCCCAAAACGTGGGAGCCGTGGCTCAGGGTGACACCCAGGGGAGTTGGAGTGAACTAGAGAAGGAGGATTTAGGGTTTATACAGAGACAAATAAGCAGCCTGTCCCGCACCCTCACTTCCCCGCCACGCCCTCCCACCCGTCCCTGTCCCTCTGTTCTGGTGCGGGGCGGCCCGGTTCTCAGGCACCTCCCTGCGCCAGAACATTCTCCCACCCGAGGGGTTTAGAGGAGCAGGGCAGCGGGGCTGCGAGCGTCTTTCCCACGCCGCGCTCACAGTCCCGTGGCCACAGAGGAGCGCGCTCTCGCCACTCTCACCTGTCTGTCCGAGGAATGAGCCTCCCCATGAGCATCCTGTGGAAAATTCAATTTCTGTCTGTCGCCACGTGCGCTGCAGGTGGACTCCGCACAGGTGAGGCCCGGAAGAGCTATGGGGACGTCAGAAAACACTTGACACAGCTCGACCCTGGCTGTCACCGCACCGGGGCCCCTATGTCCCCATCGCGCTTTACCCGTGGTCTCGGCTGGGCCCCCACTGCCGACGGAGGCCGGGCTGGGGGAACGGGGGCAGCTAGGATTTCAAAGAGGTGCCAGATGGCGGCGAGGGGCCCAGGGCACGCATGGCGCCGACTGACAGCCTCGGAAATTACGCAGATGGGGAAGGAGCCCTTTAGCTACGGTGCACGGCGTTTATGCAGCTCGCCGAATACGTACGCGGGGAGTAACGCGCCCTGTAACCCACCGGAAACTCTCACTAAAGGTCTGATCCGCCGAGACCGGCGCCTTTTCCAGCGGCCGCGACGGCCCGTGCAGTCAGCATATCGGGACGATGTTCCTTGGAACCATCTTTCCCTGGAACCAAATAAAGCAGCTGCTCTTGAAGTTGCTGACTTAAGGCCAGGTGAGAGAGGAATAGAAAAGGAGCAAACGGCTTTGCCCATGGACCGCCCACTCCTCTGCCAGCTCCCGCCCAGGCGACATTCTTCCTCTCCTTTAACCAGCAAATCTACCCCTCCTGCGGCAAGCCTTCCCGGATTTACCAGGGGCAAACTGCCGACCACCTGTTCCTTAGGATATGCTTTTAAAACCAGGCAGTCTCCAGTGCTAGACTCCAGCTCTTTCTGCTGCTGACTGCGTGGCTGTGGCAACTCTCAGGGCTGCTGGGGAATGAAATGAGTTAATGTGCAAAGACTGTAGACCTGTGCCTGGAACAGAGGAATAATCATTGTATCCAATATATAATCCATATGTCATACACACATTGCATATATACATATTATATACCTACATGCTAATATATAATATACATATATGTAAAATATGTTACATATATACATTATATAATATATAATACATACAGATATACCAGGTGGGGCCGCAGGGGTGGAATGATGACTGACATCAGACTGTCATAGTAATTCCATCCACCTTTGCTAGATATTAAATTTACTGGCCTCCCTTGTAGCTGGGAGTGACAATTGTCTTAGTTTGGGGCAATGAGATGTAAGGGAATGTCTATTGGAGAAATTTTGAGAAAAAGAGAGGGTGAGAGCGAGCCAGGGAAGGAGTTCTTAGAATTGAGGAAGAATAGGCCCTGGTTTTCTTTCCTTTGAATGTAGCCATGATGTCTGGAGCTGCAGCAGCCATCTACCACAAGGTGACAAGCATGCAGATGAAAAGACAGCTCCCCACAGATGGCAGAGCTGGAAGATAGAAATAGGGTCTTTTGTAATATTGTTGAGAAACTAAGCCAACCTTCAGACTGTTAATCTCCAGATCTTTTCTTGAGTAAACTGTAAATATCCTAATGGTTTAATCCAACAACAGCTGGGTATCTGATACTTGCATCGGAGCATATTTTAGCTGATATACTAAATATTAGGGTTTAGCCAGGAAAACTGGTGTCTGGGTTGGATCTGGAAGGGTAGGAAAAAATTAGAACGAAAGGGCTGTTGCTGAGGCTGTGAGACAGAAACAGGAAGAAAACAGGAGGGAACAAGCTCCTTTCCCTCCTCTCCTGCCTTCCGGTTTTCCTTATCAATAGAATGTGGCAGAAGTGACAATAGGCATGTTCTGGAGCTTAGAGCTTAGGCTCTAGGCTTCCCCTCTGGCAACACCGCCCGGATGGCCATGTCGGGGAAAGAGCACGTGGGGAGAGACGGCCAGCTCGGATGGCGCGGCTCCGCAGGCCCAGCTGCTGGCTGAGCACAGCTGCACGAGGAACCCAGGTGAGTGCAGCAGCAGCAGAGCCACCTCACCAGCCACGGGGTTGAGAGAAGTAAATGTGGGGGCTCCTTATGCAGCTAGAGTGGATAACTGAAACAATGGGCAATGAAGGAAACAGGCAACTAAGGCAAGGCACCCAGCAGCAGGACGTGATGGTTCTGGGCCAGGTAGGTGCCAGGAGAGGAGCAAGGGGTGGGGACAGATGGTGAGAAGGAAGGGCCTGGGTCTCTGCTCTGATCTCCTGCTGTTGAGGCTCAATGAGACCACAGCTGGTAGCCGGTTTCTTTTGAGTGACAAACCCAGGGCAACGTGGCTCTAGGCATGTGCTGCTTCTCCTCCCTGGAATGCTCTTCCCCGGCTCCTCATCATGCTAATTCTGTGCATGACATACTCAGCTTCTATTGTCGCACCCCCAAAGCAGTCCTTCCTTATTACAGAGTTATTTTTGTGTTTCAGAAGATACAGGCCCAGCAAAACCAAAAAAGGGTATGCATCGAGGCTCTACAACAGTGGCCCCCAACCTTTTTGGCACCAGGGACTGGTGTCATGGAAGGCAGCTTTTCCATGGGGGGAGGGGGGAGGTAGGGGAGTAGGGATGGGGGAGGCAGGGCTCAGGAGGTGATGCAAGCCATGGTGAGTGGCCGTATAAGGAAGCTTCGCTAGCCTGCTGCACCGCTGCTCACCTCCTGCTGTGCACCCCCCACCCTGTTCCTAAGTTTCATGGAAGACAATTTTTCCATGGACAGGGGCTGGGTGGGGGTGTGGTGGAGCTCTGTGTCCTGGTCCTTAACAGGCCAGTACCAGTACCAGTCTGCAGCCCAGGGGTTGGGGACCGCAGCTCTGTAAGACGTGGTTGAGTAATTAACAGCAGGACTTCCCAGTCCCTCACTCTCCGTGTGGGTTTCTTTACCCCACCGGCTCTCCAGATGTGGTCCCCGTACCAACATCATTTGGCATCTTCTGGGAATTTGTTCAAAATGTAAATTCTTGGGCTCTATCCCAGGGACACTGAAGCAGAAACTCTGGGGACTCAGCAGTCTGGGAGCTGCCCTGGTGATGTTGGTGACACCAAAATTTGAGAGCAACTGGGCCAGACATCAGGGAGAAAAGTGAGTTTAGGGGAAGCGAGGAACGAGAAGACGGATCCTGAGAAAAGACAGGTCTATTGTTACTGAAAATTGGTCGCAGGAAGAACAAGGACAAGTGGTTTGAGGAAAAGGAAAGAGAAGTTTATTAGTTTGCCAGCAAATTAGGAGGATGGCAGACCCATATGCAGCAATACAGAGCTTTTAAAAGGAGCGTTCCGCTCCGGGCTATTGCTGTCTAACTATAGCGTCTCTGGTCAAGACAATCTCCTGACCTCTGCCCAGACAATTCCGTGGAGCCATCTCCTGTGGGAAAAAGGACACTCCCCTGCCCCTCTGATTACAGACCTTAGGCAGGAATGCGGGTTGTAATTCCCAAAAGGAGTGCGAGTGGAGGGGAGGTGGTTAAAGAGACAACTCATAAAACGTTTTACCCCCTTTCAGGCCATTCCTCTGTTGCACTATGACAGCGCCCCTCCCTGCCGGGGCTGGGCAAGTGCGGAGGTGGTGTCAGGAGTGCCCTGGAGGTCTGGAGAGGACCGGCCTGAATGCACGAGGACTTATGCCAGGAAGAGAAAAGATCTCAGAGGAGCCGCGACTGCATGCTTGATCCACACAATCACCCCCGTGCCCAGCGCCACAGCGCTCTGGGACCTGTTGGGGAGACCTCCAAGGACCTTCTGAGGACCGCTCAGACTGCGAGGACTCAGCCGTGTGTGCGTGCGTGTGTGTGTGTGTGTGTGTGTGTGTGTGTCTCCATGCATCATTCACAGCAGCCAGAAAGGCCCCAATTCTCTGCCCTGATCTTTTTCTGCCCATTATTTTTAACAAAATTAGATTAGGGGGAACCCCTGGCGATGCTTTTCATGAGCAAACTGGGAGATGCTTGATCAATCTTAAAGACCTAAGCTCTAGGGAGGCCAGTGATATCCACTGACACCCTGGATTAATTTTCCAATTTCTGGGCACAATAATAATGAAATCTGCCATTTACTGGTCTGCTGGTCACTTTTCCTGCTTTTTATCACTTAAGCCTCACTATGTCCCAATGAGGGAGAGACTATCACCCCCCCACACACACACTTTTAACAGATGAGGAAACTGAGCTTTAGGAGGACCAAGTAACTCCGCAGACTTCTGCAGCTAGGATGGGGCAGAGCCAGGACTTGACCCCAAGTCCGTCTGTCCCCAGGGTCTGCGCTGTCGGCCAGGCCATTCCACCGCCAGCCTCATCAGTGTTTGGAAACGCATCTCGAGCTTTTCTTGAAGAAGCAGCGAAATGGTCATCTCAGCAGAGAAATATACAGCACCCTGCGCTGGCTCTGGAGGTGGAGAGCAGGTCAGAGGCTTCCCCGGCAGCTGGCAGGCGCCGCTGTGGCCTCGGAAGACAGTGCTCGCTCTCTTTCTCTTCTTCCCTCTTTCTCTCTCTCTGTCTCTCTCTCTCTCTCATCCTTTGCATCCTTGCTCCAAGCACCCAGGGTGAGGTTGAGGGGCATACATGGCATCGGGTAGTACATCTCCCCGAGTTTATTTACTAAAACAACATTTTTTATTGCCAGGACATGTTCACAGCTGAAAATATGACAGCCTACATTTTATGTGGCCATTGATCTTTAATCCGAGCCTGCCTGGAGGTTTCCTATAAAATCAGAGCTTCCTGGCCCCGAATGTGATTCCGGCAGGCGAGTGAATGACGGCCTGCGCTGCTCTTCTCTCATCTGAAAAGGCTGAAATTGCTTTGTGTAAATGGGTGGAAAATGCTGATACTCGGGTTCTATAAATAGCTCGCCTCCGAGCGAGCAGCAGCGCATCATCTGCGCGCTCTCCTGGGCGGGCGCGTTTGGGGCCTTATCGCTTTTATCCGGGGCGCGGCATACAAATGAGCCCCGCCACGTGCGGGCTGGGAACATTTGGGAGCGTCTGCGGTTAATGAGGGGCGATGCTGCGGGAGGAAGCGGGACACCGCCGCGAGGGCGGCGGGGAGCTGGGCACGGGCGCGCACGTCCCGATCGGGAGCAGCCGCGCAGCCCTGCCCGCCGCCTCCCCGCGCCGCCGCGTGGGAGCCGCTCTATCTATAGCGCGCTATTTTTAGCCGCGTCATCCGAGGAGCCTGACAGCCAGTTAATGACTGGGACCATCGCGGCGTGTCTGCCGCGCTGTGGCATTCGCTCGCCAGGAGCAGATGTGCTGAGGCTCAAGGTTGTCGCATCTTAAAATGCTCTTCCTTCCCTGGGAGGCGGGGCTGTTAGAGCAGGGCTATTGAGGGGGCATGGGTCCCCCACTCTCTGAGAATCCTCAGATGACAGGGGGGGATGGGGTGGGGGTGGGGGGAGTCATCTCGTTCATTTCTGCTGCAGCGAATGGCATCTTCCTAATGCACCTCCTAGGCTCTGTTAGCACAGCCTGGAGAGGTGGCGGGCACAGAGGAGGCAGCCCCGAGAGATGACAGAGGACTCTCACTGCATCCCGCGCAGATCAGAAACCTGGGAAGAAGACCAATGTACAGCCACCCCAGTTAAGAAGTTGTAATTTTTCCCCAAGAAAGGAAAATCCTGGGTTTCAGAGGTTTAATGCTCTTCAGAGGCTGGACTCTGTGTCAGACGCAACCCCTGATTTTATAGATCAGCTGATGTGTGCTCAGAGAGGGCCGGCAATCTGCTCGGGACCACACAGCCTGCCTCCTACCCTTACTCCTTATGCAGCCGCTGCACCTGGACCAAGTCACAAGTCCAAGTGCTTGGCTATACTTGGTGAACGAATCCAGGACTGCCTTCAGGGTCTGTGCCTTCATTCGTTCTCTTACTCACCCCACGTGCCAGGAATACAGGTGACTCTGTTTAAGGGAAACAAATGGTGCTAGGAGGACAAATGGATGAGAAACAGATTGACTTGTAGATGGTTCTCTTTGAAATCCTCTCCCCTCCAAAAGGACAGGTATAAAATATCTGAACTTCGTTGGGATATTGAGTAATCACTCTGTGATTCTCCCCATGAACGTGGGGAGAATTAATTAATCTTATTAATTAATTAATCTTATTAATCTGCCTTAATTGTGAGTTGATCTTTCAGTGAAGTTTCGGGGGGAATGGGCAAGTTTTGCCTCACCCAAACAGTATGCAATTATCTCTCCCATTTTGCAGATAGAGAAAGACAGTGAAGGAGCTCAGGAAATTTCACCCCAAAATATGACTCGTAGGCATAGGCAGTATTTTGAATTAAAGGCCCTTTAGAGATCAGTAGGCTCTTGGAACGGGCTTCCCCACCATCTGCATAACCAGACAGACCCATCAATTGACTTCCCTCCCCGTCCCTGTTCTCTCACTATACTGCAGGAAGGAAAATCAAGAATGCAACTAACCTGGCCCTAAATATAATACCCATCTCTCAAGGTTAAATTAATTTGCAAAGAGAATCATTTACAAATCAGTCTGTTTCCCATCCATTCATTTTCCCTAGCTTGATTTCCCTAATGGCCATGTAACACTGTTCTGGCCAAAGAAACCTGAAAAAAATTCTGCAGTTGTGTTCCATCAGCCTTCTTCTTTCTGCCTACAATGAAACTAGATGTCTGGCGCTGTGGCAGCCATCTTACAACCATGAGGGAAGACCAGGAGAGTTGCAGACAACTGCCCTGATATCATTGTGTTGTGGAATCAAACCCAGCAGTTGCCTACTTCTAGACTTTCTGTTTTGGGAAAAAGATACAATCTG